TATTCCTCCGGTTGTCCTCGCGCGGTTTCATTAGGATCGGTTAATTTTTCAACCGGTGTCATAGTAACAGTCAGCTTGGGCGGGAAATAAAGGTAATAATGAAGCAGGAGCAGTTTCAAGGAGCAGGTTTCACGTTTCGTGATACCGTATGTGTGCACACATACGGGATGAAGAAATTTTGATAAAAACGGCGCGTTGTTCGTTTTACGCGAATAATATAACGTCAGTGTTCTTTTTTTTTTTTGTTAATTATTATTATTATGGACGATTCGTGAGTATACGTAATTGGGATATATTATTATTTGAATCGTTCAAAAGGATAGAATTTTTTTGAAAAAGAACGATGTATTATATAAATGTATGGAAAGATTTATTCAAGAATCGATTTCCTTTTTTTTTTTTTTTTTTATTCTTTCATTTTTCATATTTTCAAACTCGGTGACTCCGATATCATATTTTCGTCATCTCTGATAATACATCTGCCACACACAAAAGTGAAGCTTATTTTGAATCGATTTGAAGCGTTCGAAAGCAACCAAAGTTGGTTAAATTTAAGGGCGAATCTTTTCGTGCAGTGATCATTCGGTTCGTGACAGATCGACGTAAAAAAAGAGAGAGAGAGAGAGAGAGAAGGTGGATAGGTCGAATCCCCCTGTAAAGTCGAAAATCGACAGAGACGGGGCGTATATTTCATTGCCGGCGTGCGATTTTCAATCTCCGCGAATGTCCGTCCACCAACCAACCCCCTCATAACCTTTTCTTTTCACGTTGCCTCTCGAATAACACTGGATAACTTTACGCTTTGTAACTTGGCTTCGAATCGAACGCAACAGACAGGAGAGGAGGGGGAAAAAATCGGCGGAGAGAAATCAATGATGAACTTTTTCTCTTTCTTTAAAAATTCTTTGAAATCCAAAGTTCAAAATATTTTAGAAATGTTACGAATTCTCGATATCAAAAATTTTGACGCTTAACAAAATAATATTCGATCAAAGTTTCGAAAAGCAAGATTAAAATTGTCCACAATTGTCAAGTTACTAATTGATTAATCCAATCAATGATCGCTTGCTCCCTGCGATTCTTTTAAAAGTAGAAAAAGAGAAAAGCAATCTCGTAGATTAGCAGAGATCGTTCGTTTCACAGTTTTCGTTCGAAATCTCAGTATTTTTGTTTCATTCGTTGGAAATCTCTCTCTCTCTCTCTCTCTCTGGATATCGCTTTGTAAATGTTTCACGAGCAAACCGAAGAATCGCGACGACTCCTCGAAGAAAGCTTCTTTGCAGATCCGTTACCTGCTAGATTATGCTGGCAAATTGGGGCGGCGCGTTTCTGAAATACATCCGTTCCACGAGCGTATGCAATTCGAGGGTTAACCTCGAATCTCTGTGCGTCTTTGGCGCGTCCCGAGATTAAATTCCCCGCATCAGGAATAACTTTCGCTAACATTTGATTAGCATACGTGAGAAGAAACTCGTCACTTTCGCCCGCCCTTTGACGCCCCATCCGTTAATAACCATCCACCCCTCCCCCCCGTTCCTGGATATGAATTAACCAGAGCCACCTTCTTATCTGGCATTGATTAAATCCGGAACACTCGACTGTCGTCTCTCGCGTCCTTGAATTATTCATACGTTCTTTAGCCAGGCCCGAGAATGGGTTACATCGATTTCTGGCGACGAAGTCGTCGGAGAGAAGGTGGCGAGAGTCACCTGTTCCTCCACCCCGCGTTATTCTCCAACCATGTTATTCAAGATTTCAAGTAGAATAAATTCAAACTTGCTTAATGTCGAATGGAAAGAATTTCACTCGAAAGGGTTTCAGAAATTATTCATAATATATAAAGCGGTTCAATAATATTACCCATCCCAAAAAAATTCACAAATTCCCCATTTTATTCCCGCTTCCTTCCTTTCGAAATTAGATTAGAAACGCGTTCGTAAACGCGTTTTATTTCCTTTCCATTCAAGAAAATTGAAAGATGGATGGAAATTTTCAATGGAGCACTGCGGAAAATTCAGACGACTGACGGCCAACTCGGCTATAAATTTAGGGGACACGGGTTTAAAGCCGTGGAACTCGAAGACGGTCGGAGAGACTGCGTTCGATGTGCGGGCAGACCGCACGACGACGCTTGTTCCTCGAACAGGCTACACTCCGGATAACTGTCAGCGGCACACCGCCGACGAAAATCGTCGCCGTCGTCACATAATTTCATTTCGACCTCAACGTCGTTTAAAGCGTTGTTCGCCGCTGTTGAAGATTTTCCGGGGAGGGGAGGAACGCATGATGATTTTCGTTTTCTTTCTCGGGATTGTATACCCGTTGAGAGTGGACCTTTGAGAGGATGGGATGGAAGGAAGAACTTTCGAAAACTTTGCGTATCCGCAACGCTTGTTACAGAGAGTTGATGCGAATCCGTACGAGGCTTGGACAAGTTTGCGCCTCGGTATCGTATCTCGAGGGATTTCCTCTTCTTATCTTCCAAGCTCCCGTTTCGCCTGTTAAGTTAAACTCTTTCCAAATATGTGGGATAGGAAATGGAATATGTGGATCTCCCATAGTAATAAAAAGAAGAAAGATAGATTGTTTCGAATGCAAACACCTTTTCATCGAAGAGTTCAAACAATACTTCAAGTACAAACTCTCTCTATTCTAAACGCATTATTCCGACATTCGAAAAACATTCGTTCTGCACGCGCTTTCCATCTCCGACTTCAATCTCGAACGAAATATAAACATTCCGCGTCACGATTAAATAAACGCGGATGGAATATTCGAAGAGAGGATATTTGGGAATTTTGGGACACGCACGCGTCGTCTTGCCCGATTTTTCGTCCGCTTTTACTTCACCTTCGGCTTCGTATTTTCCTTTGTTGTTTTGTTTTCCCTCTAATTTGACGAGGGCGAGGAGCATGGAACCGTGTGTACCATTAACCCAAATAATTCCGAAGAACAACCCTCTCTCCTCACGAATTCTCTCCCGTTTGCAGACCGTTGAAACAATGCGTATTTTTGAAGAAGAAAGGAACTTTTATACATTTCTTGTTCATTTCTTTCTGAATTGCAGTTTCATCTAGTTTCATCGAGTTAATCAATTTTTGTATTAATCGTTTCGTTTCGTTTTTTCGGTCTTTATAACGTCGATACATATACCCCGATATCAATCTATCCGATATTTATTATCTCTATCAGGTCGTTTTATCGGCGAAAACCGCGGACGGTTTTACAATTGGCGACATCGATTATTCAATGTCGATTACGAACTTTCTTAATGGGATGGTAGAGCATAGAGATGCGGAAGAAAGAAAAACGTTGTACGAATAATATTCGATTATTGGTGAACGCAAAACGATTGCCGCGTTCCTTTTAAAATATCACGAAACATTCCCTATGTTTTAACTGTATTTCGAATTCCACGAGTTTTCTTTTAAAAAATTGTAGCACTTGATCGAATCAAAGTTTACGCGAAGTGAATATTCACCACAACGTTTAAGCAGAGACGATCATCTCTCTTACTCTTAAATTTAATAATAATAAAGTAATTACTCTAAGCTCATTGAAAATTTTTTAACTTTCATTCATCGTATCATATCGAGCGAATCGAGCCTTCGTTTTCCATTGTCCAATTCTTCGTCGCTCGAAAGCGTACAATCAAACGCGTCGTCTTCCCGTTTCTTTTTCTCCTCTCGCGACAAACGTGGAAACTTTTCAATTAAATAGTTAACCGCGATCACGATTATTGTAGGAAAGGTATTAGCCAGTTTTTTAAACGGTAACGATGTTTTAATTAAATTCGTTCTCCGAATGGGTTTGAACGCGAACCCCCTCTCTCCCGATCGATGCTCCCTTTCGGCGCGGGCTTTAAAGGCACAGTTAATGATATCCGATTTGATTTCCATCGGTAAACGTTCCGTTATTGGCGATTGTTGTTGTTAGCGCGCGAACGGAAATTAACCCGCGATTAAACGCGGCCATTTTCACCGATCCTGTCCAAAACTATCGATCGTCTCGATAATTACAAAACTGCCCCGCTTATCGACTAATACTTGATTAATTTCGCGATACAGTTTCGGATAAGCGGTATTATTGTATCGCAACGATCGGAACCGCGGCTAGTGGAAACTTTCGTTAACTTTAGGTTAAAACGTAACCAATACCCGCCGTATTTTGAAACACCTCAACTTTAACCGGGTATGGAAATACCCGCGTACTCCACGTATTTCCTCGATCGAGCGAATGTGTCAATGATATCGCTCCACACACTGGTTGTTAATGAAAATTATTAATAGAGGCTCGATGTAGGTCAACTTATTGTTGGATTCGTGACGAAACGGAGGATATATTTAATTTAGAACTGCGATTAAAATATTATTCGTTTCTCTCGTTTCGAAATCGCTTCGATCCATATCTCGGTTCGAGTGGTGTGCGTTTTATTTATATGCGAGTAAATTACCAAATAGGAAGAATTCGATATAGGTTTCTTGGATTTGTAAAATTTAGAACGGGCTACTTTCTTTAGCACCGTTCGGAAATATTTCAATCTTAACCATGATGTAATGAAAATACAAGTACCTCTATATTTGCTTATCTGGTTGTCCAAGCATCGATTAATAATACAATTCGAGCGTCCACTCGCGTTGAGTATCCATTGTTCGATAAAAGGAGAAAGGAAGATCTTTTAAATTTGGTGTAAAAAATTTCCGTTGTTTCATTTGAACGAAAATGGCGGCAATTACAAAGACGAGTTGCTTGAAAAGCGATCGAACGAAGAAATTCCCTTTTTTCGAGCAAAACTTCACTCTACCAATTGGCTTTCGAACTCGGGAAACGCGTTTACTCGAGAACAGTTAGCGGACTTTATTCTTCACTTCTACCTGTAAAGTTTGGTGGCCAGTTTGGTCAGTATTCTTCCCAAGATTTTTCTCGAGATTCCACGATTGCCAATCAAAGATTTTTCCCTTCTAACTTTTTTTTTTCTTTTTTTCTTTTCTATTTTTCAGGAGCGCCTGTCACGATTCCTGGACCCAGCTACGACTGTCACCGATGTTCGGCTGCATTTGTCCCAACAATCACATGAAAAGACGCTGCGACAGGATTTTCTCCACGGTGAATCACAATCCCTGCGTTGGTAAGTATGAAATCTTAGTTTTTTCCAGAACCAATTTTTTTGATACATTTATATATATATATTTATATGTATATTTATGTATGTATACGTGGTACATTATACGCAGGTATCTGTAACAATTGCGTACACACACGCAGAGAAATATTTACTCGCTTCTCTCGGATTTTTATTATTAATTCTATTTGTCCCGCGATTTATCAGACACAGTTTTTTTTTTCTTTTTTGTAATGGACGAGTTATACACACGCGTTGGTTAATCGTTGAACGTTTTTTTTTTACTTTAGCGCATCCTTGTGGAAGACGATGATTGTCGATGTTGTGTGAAGTAAACGTGTGTATTGTTTCTCGCATCTTTCGTTTCGTTCCTTCTTGATTTGTGTACACGACAAATTTCCCGTTTTTTAGTTTCGCTCCTCGAAACTGCCCGCCCCCTTTTCTACGTCTGCTGCTGTTTGTCTGTATCTTGTTATCGAGTGCTCTCTAGTATGTCGTCACCTTTCACTTCGATCGATGTATAAGCGTACTCGGCTCGACACTCGAAATCGCATCACCCTGTCGATCTTGGAATCCGAATTTTAACGATTTTTAGCTACTCCATTTTCAATTCAATTATTATATTATTAACGATTAATCTCGATCGAAGAAATACGCTCTCGAATCAATTCGACTTTCCGTCTACCGAAGAACTCGCGTCGAACTGCGGTAAAGTCTCTTCTCCTCCTCTTCCCCGTGGTATACAATTGCCCCTTTTTTCCCCGTTCAAATGGTCATTGACTTTTTCACGAGACTTGCGAGATCGGGTCGCAAGCTCGTTTCCAAGGGGGAGGAAATTTGAAAGGAAAGAGGTGAAAGGATAGGAGGAGGCGGAAAGTTTGGCCGTTTCCATCGTAAACACCGTTATTTTTCGTGTCGAAGAAAAGGTATTGGAGGTATCTTCTCTCCTGTTGAGGGGGGAGGAGCAATCACTCTCGGCGATACCGCGGTGTTTAAGAACGACGTTATAGCCTTCTTCGGATAAGCTCCTTTCTCCTTAATTAACCAAAGGCGAACCGGTATCGAGATGTAGATAAGGATTTCATCGCGTGGCAGGCTCGACCTTAATTTCACTGAAACCACCCCCCCCCCCTTGGAGGAACATCGCTCCCTCGATACCATTCCAGTTTAATGACACTCGAATGCCTATTTTTACCTCCTTCTTTCCTCGTCTCGCCCGCGAAATTATGCCTCGTCTTATCTTTCGCTCGAGACGAGGATCACCTTTGCGATAAGATAACGGTTCGTTTCGTTTTCACTTTTTCTGTTCGAAATTGGGTGAAGCATATCCCTTGAAATTCTCCGTTTTCTCGACGATCGAACGTGATATCGATGATTCTTCATTCCTCAACGAAACCGCGTCATTCTTTCGAAAATGACTACTTCGTCTCGCGTGAAATTATCAAATTTGGAAAAGATGATCGATCATACAATTCGAATGTTGCAATTGTCAAATGCATATAATTTGAAAATACGATTACGACAGTGTGTCGATTAACTCGCGAGGTATCGAGGTATTGATCGAGTTGGTCCACGATCGACAGCGTGATGATTCGTGATACGCTTACGATAAGAGGAGGTTTACATTTTGCATAGAGCGAGCATCTACAGTAAGTGAACCACCATACGAGGCGCATGTGCGACGTTTGTTCTTTTTATCTTAAGTGTGCGTTTGGCCGAGCAATTAAAACTATTAGATCGTGATCGGTGGACAATCAATTTTCTACGTTTCAGCTTCGAGGAGTTCGATCTATATCATCACGCAGCCCATTCCTCGAACGAATCGAATCGTTGGTGAAAAAGAAAAATCGCGCGACTGATCGTCGACGAAATTACCGAACGTTTTTCTCACCATCGCGAACAGATTATTCCTCGGGCGACGATACGCGAGTTCGTCTAAAGAAGCGCAAATTTACGATCGAAAGGAGCATACGATCTGAAATGATTGTTGTTTCCAGATTTAACTCGAATGCAATCGATCATTCGCTCGTTGTATAAATTATCGAAACGAGTCGAGGATGATTCGACATGTTGCGAACGGGTGAGATAATTAGAAAACGATTCGATCAAGAGGAAGATCATTACACGAGATCGCTGGACCCATTCTCGAAAAATCGGAGGCGAGGGAGAGTAAAGAAAGGGATCCAGATCGAAGAGAACGAGGAGGGAAACGTGTGCACGAGAGCACCACCAGAGCACCTCTCCTCCCCCCCCAAGTACGCATTCCGCCCGAAGGATCCGCATTTCGAGATCGATCCGCACGATTTCCCAGCTATATACGCGTCCAACATCCGCAATCTCGACTCGTTCCGCCTCTTTTCACCTCGCGCTTCGACTCTCGCGTCCTCGATCGCGTCTAATCGAACTGGGTCGCCGCGAAATGCTACGAGGGAATTTCTCGAATCGGGGCTCGGCGCAACGAGCACGCGAGGCCAACGACGAGGCAAAGAGAAATTAGCATACCTTCTTTTCCTTCTTTTCCCCCCCCCCCCTCCTTTCTCTATCGCAATAGTATTTTTATTTTTATCGCCGACTTTTCGTCGCGTTTCCATTTATCGGGTTATCGATACCGTTCGAAGCAAGTTTCGAAGCGTTTCTCCTTTCTTTTTCCTCCTCTTTTGTGCTCGCTCGTAATTACCTGGTCCTTTTCGATCGATTTATTTTTTCGTAATCGTGGGAATGGATAAAGGGAAAAAAAAAAAAAGAAGGAAGGCTCGAAAAGAGTCGCGATTATGTTTCGTGTACGAAAAAAAGGCGGTTCGATGAAAGTGGATAAGAAGCCGAAAGCCTTCGGGCGCGAACGCAAAGGAAATTATGCACCGCATGTTGTTGTACTTTTGCACGGGATACTTTTTTTTAGATGTCGTGCACGTATTCTCAGCCTGCATGCTCGTATTTTTCTACATCTATCTGAAATATGCATGCATGCGTCGATTAATCGGCTACCACGACTCTCTGTTACTCTCTGTTACTGACTCGACTCACTTACTACTCGACTCCCACTCTCTGCCTCCCCCCCCCCCCCTTTTCTCTCGCATTTCTCGAACGAATCAATTTTTCTTCAGGTGAATTTGCCGAAAAGAAAGAAGGAAAGAAAGGGTATCAACGTACGATAATCTCTATACGAATTATTCCAGCGAATAATTAACGAACGAAAAAAATCTGTCCTCGATATTTTTCCCTCTCACCTTTTCTTCGTGCAACACTTATATATAACAACGATATGATAAAACGACATTTATAACATCGATGACCTTTTTTACACCTCGTAATAAGAGCCGTAATACCTGGCCTTTCCCCACATCCTTTTAACCCACCTCCTTATTCCGATTCCGAAAGGGTAAAGGAGACTTTTCGACCGGGGGAGAAAAACCTGCCATTTAAACTTACCAACACGGGGGATGAACAGTTGGAAGCGGGGATTCCTCCTCGGAGGACGGTGCTAATATTTTCTTTTCGCGTGACACGGCGGCGTGGCAAAGATTCGAGAGGAAAAATCCACGAGTCGTCGAGGGGTTAAACGAACCAAGATGTAATCGGAATCGGGATTCCTTTTGCCAGGGAACTCCGACGACGAAACGACAAACGGTTGAGCAAACGCAGCCGCTTTGAGCTCCAGCCACGGACAGATTCTTCCTTTTGCTCGCCAGTGTCGGCTTCGATCGACGGCTTCGCTACCACCAGAGGGGATAATAAGGGTCCTCGACGGAGATTCCTTGTCGCTGGAATAATTCGTTGTTAATAATGTCTCGTTAACCTCTTCGTGTTCAATAAAACGCGTAAAATTCTAAAATTGACGAAACGAATGTTCCCTCTCGTCGAGAGACTCTCTCGTCCTGACGAGAATCGGTCAGACGTATCACAAATATCACGGATGTTTTACGCGAACACTTTTACATTCGATCGTTAATTTCAGCGGCGAACGATACGAAAAATGATACGATCCACCACCACTCTGACCACCACCACCACCACCACCATCACAATCACCACCATCACCACGCGACCACAAGAGTAGCACGTAGCACGCGAAACCCGTGCACGTGTACCGATGCGATCACGCACCCCACTCACCCCGTTCTCGTCCGCGTCTCTGCTTCTCTGTTACAGAGTTCCTGCCCTCCTCCACCTCCGTAGACCTGTCGGGCACGGACTCGGCCCTGTATCCGTTCGACCCGCAGCAGGAGAGCTACCAGGAGATCTGGTTACCGCCGACCAGTATGTACCCCTATTTTCTGTTCCCCGGGGCCGCGCGCACCTCGTACTACGACCACGAGAGCACGTACGACGTCCAGGAGGCGGGACAGGGGCGGCCACAGCACGGCCACCGCCATCAGCACGGCCGTCATCAAGAGGCACCGGAGCTGCCTGGCAGGCCCGGTGTCCTCGTGGTCGAGACGTACGATCCTCGTGCCGATCGAGGCGAGGCTCGTGCTGGCACCGACGACGAGCATCTGCACAGGGAGAAAGATGATCGTGAAACGGAGGGATCCAAGAGCTTCTATGATCGCGGCTCTTCTTCTTCTTCTTCTTCTTCTTCCTCTTCTTTTTCTTCTTCTTCTTCCTCTTCTTCTTCTTCTTCTTCTTCTTCTTCTTCCACGTTGTCCAAGCATGATCGTGCCTCCAGCACAGTGCACCTGCAGCCAAGGCACTCCCAAAGCGAGCATGACGCGCACCTGCACCATCATCACCATCACCAGCACCACCAGCACCACCCCGCACCACCCGCACCACCGTCCGCCGCGACGTCGTCTTCGTCTTCGTCGTCTTCTTCGTCATCGTCGTCGTCGTCGTCATCGTCGTCGTCGTCGTGGTCGAGTTATCCGCCACCGGCTCGTCCAACGCCTACCGTGGACGAGACTAAACGAATCGAGGGGCCCGAGCTGGTGCATCCGAAGAAATTCGCACCGAGGCCCACCTACGAGCACCGGGCAATCTTCGATCGCGCCGACGACGACCTCGATGACGAGTTCAGGATCGGCGCGCTACCAGTCGACCGGCTCTTCGACCTCCGCGAGGCCTTCGAAGGGTTCGTCGACCAAGGTTCGTACATGGCCGCGTGCACACCTCGCCGTTTACCATAGGAAGCGACCTCCATCGCGCGAGAAAGTACGGAGGAGAAAAAGTCATTCGATTCCATACGCTTCTCTTCCCCCCCCCCTCTCCCCCACCGTCGCGTGCATATATTTCTTCTCGCGCGAGTTGTTATCTTTGATCCATCGTCACGGCGACTTCGAAGGATCGCGCGAGTTGTCGAGAGACTCTGGCTGGTGGGATTGATTATACAACTCGAAACTCGAAATTCGTACGAAGATCTTTTTTTTCCAAGGAGAAATTCTTTTTTCAAAAACACAAAATCTGCGGCTGCCTGCCGACCACTGTTCTCACCATCGACAGCTTGCTGCTTTCAAAAAACTTTATACAGGTGTACCTGTAAAGCGAAGGATCATCGTTGTGCAAGTTTTTAGAGAGAGAGAGAAAGAGAGAGAATGCTCGGTTGAAATTTGACGGGAACGATTTTAGCGGTGCTTGGCCCCGTTGATCGATCAGCCCTCGAAGGAGATTCGCGACTGTTGCGAGCAACGTTTTAGAAAGGAAAAAAAAAAAACCTCGTTAACGCGCCGCGTTAGAGAGAATGGAAAAGAGAACGAGATGAACGCGGTTTCCTCGACGGTTTCCCTCGCGCGAATCGATAATATTTGCGGGGAACGCGGAATCTTAGAATTGAAGACGCGTTTTCCTCTCCATGCTCCGTTACGTTTGCTCGTTTACAGTGAAGGTCATCTCGCATCCGGACAACTCGACTAGCTTCGAGGTGATCGAGTCCCAGCTCGAGAATCCGCTGATCGACGCTGATCATCACGATCTGGTCGCCATGAAGCAGATACCTGTTCCCGGAGGGCATCATCATAAAACGCAGCACAAGAGGAATCAGACGGACGACCGTAATCGTGAGTATTTCATTCTTTTTCATTTCCCTTCGTTTACCTTCGTTTTATTATCGGTGAGATCGGTGAAAAATGTAATTTGTAGTTCGATTCGTTTCGATCGATATATGGATTGGAAATTGGAAGATCGAGGAATATTCGTTAGATTTCGTTTCGTTAGAGAGATCAAAGATGGATATTCAATTTTAAGAATCGAAACAAATTTAACAAATAACTTCGATCAATATTTTTACATATCGATTTTTTAAATATCGAGAATCGATCATTTATCATTCGTAATGATAAAAATATTTAAATTAGCTTCTACGTTGTATCAACGTCGTCAACGAATATTCTCAGAGCACAAATTTGTATTCGAAAGATAATAGGAATGAAAATTTGAGGATTCGTTTCACAAATACTTTTCATCAGAAAAAAAAGAAAAGAAAAGAAAGAAAAATTGCAGCGATATAATCCATTATGATTACGTATACATGAATTTTCATTAAAAGTCAGAATTTTTAAATTAAATGAATATCCTCCCGTAAAATAACGTACGACTATTTTTGTGATCGTATAGTTGTGTTAAAAAAAAAAAAAAAAAACATAGAATTCCAGTTTTCCAATTAAAGATTTCCAATTAGATTCTCTATCTCGGAAAACAAAAATTTTGAACGATCAATTATAAATTACAAATCCAATCGTCATTCCATCTTTCCACACTCGAATCTTTCATCTTTCCAACTCTCTCTCTCTCTCTCTCTTCTTTTTTGATTTCCAAAAACACATTCCAATCCATTTTCGAAAAATTCGAATTACGCGTAGAGAGATCGCACAAACTTTCCAACCATCCGCACTACTTTTCCTATTATTCAAAAACCACACTTTCTTCTTCCATCATCTCCATCTCCATTTCCTTCCTATTTCCAAAACCATCATCTTCAGCCCCGTATTTTCCTCGATTCACGAAAACACCCGACGAACTCGAGCACCGTCGTCTCTAATAATTAAAACCGCGGCGAGCGCGGATCAATCGGTCCCCCGCAGAAAAAGAACCCGCGGCAATTGAACCCGGTTCGAACACGAGGCTTATCGACGATTTATCTCGGGCCGAGATACGTGGGCATTCCGAGCGGAAAGTTACGTCGGGACTCGACGGGATTAAAGTTCGAAATCCGGGAAATAATATGAGGAGAGATAGGGAGGGGAGGAAATGAGGGAGGCGAGAGACGAAATTAAATTAAAGTTTCACGGTGATAAGTCTGCAGGTGGTGCAGTTAGACGCGACGCGATATTACGCGCGCCCATCGGATCGGATCCAACTTTGGCGCCGCGTCAGAGGGAGAGGGAGAAGGAGAAAAAATTTACGTTGCTCGCCTTCCCAGAAACGAGTTTTTGTACCGCGAAATTTTCGGCCGGATAATTTTCTCTCGGAGGCGGTGAGAGGAGAGGAGTTGGTTGGTTGGTTGGGCTCCGAGAAGATGATTTCCTCGAAAAGAGGAAATTTTTGCCGTCGTTGATGGACGGGGGGCGGGGAGGGGGGAGGGGGGAGGGGGTGGGTCCGCGTTAACAAGAGGGGAAGTGTGGTCAGCATAATTTGGCCGGCAACAAATATCCGCCGTTTTAACAGCTAGTAAATTTTCGCGTGAAAAAAAATAATGCGTGGCGCAATTTTGTCTAAACGTTCCGGGTTAATAAGTTCTCGCGCGTGATAACAAATGTGAGGGATACGAAGGAGGGGACGAACTCTCGTAGAATTATATTTTTTCCTAAAATTTTTTCATTAATTTCGTTCGATGAATCGATCGATCCGTCGTTAAATTCGAGAAACTTTGGTGGTATTTAGGAATTTTGGTTTTGGTAGTTGTTGTTAGTTTGGCGAATAGCGATTTACATTTATTACTTTTGGTTTTTTTTGGCGTTTTATTTACTTTCCGGATAATTTTCTCTCGGAGGCGGTGAGAGGAGAGGAGTTGGTTGGTTGGTTGGGCTCCGAGAAGATGATTTCCTCGAAAAGAGGAAATTTTTGCCGTCGTTGATGGGACGGGGGGCGGGGAGGGGGGAGGGGGGAGGGGGTGGGTCCGCGTTAACAAGAGGGGAAGTGTGGTCAGCATAATTTGGCCGGCAACAAATATCCGCCGTTTTAACAGCTAGTAAATTTTCGCGTGAAAAAAAATAATGCGTGGCGCAATTTTGTCTAAACGTTCCGGGTTAATAAGTTCTCGCGCGTGATAACAAATGTGAGGGATACGAAGGAGGGGACGAACTCTCGTAGAATTTATATTTTTCCTAAAATTTTTTCATTAATTTCGTTCGATGAATCGATCGATCCGTCGTTAAATTCGAGAAACTTTGGTGGTATTTAGGAATTTTGGTTTTGGTAGTTGTTGTTAGTTTGGCGAATAGCGATTTACATTTATTACTTTTGGTTTTTTTTGGCGTTTTATTTACTTCTTTTTTTTTTTNTTTTTTTTTTTTTTTAATATCGATGAATATACATTAATCCATCGTGAGAAATAAGGGACGGAAATTAAAATTCGTCTCAAGTTTTAATTGCGGTTCGTGCCACAATGGTCGTGTATTCAGATCGCTGCTTTTTTTTTCTTTTCTTTTCTTTTACGAATATATTTTCCTTTATTTTCCTATATTTTGTATTTGCCGTGGTAAGGAGGGAAGGGACTACGTTATGCTACACTTCTCGGCTGATGTCCGAGAATTTGTTCATGTATTTTACATACATAACACGTTCGTTGCTATGCCTCGCGTATTATTATACGATACCTTGAATATTTATAAATTTATGTAGAAAATTTGAATGTACAAAAACCTATAGAATACACATGACATGCAAAAAGATAGAAAATATCTAAAGTATGATGGGGTATGCATTATTATTGTATGCTACTTCAGGGACGAAGCAAATTAAGTTTTTTCTTTTTTTTCTTTTTTTTTTTTTTTTTAGTTCATATTCATGAAAGTTTGATTTTGCATGAAAATCCGCAGTCTGTTTGCGATAAAACATTTATTACGTTAAATTATGAAATTTTTTTCATACTCGACAAAGATGATTGTATCGTGTTACAAAGAATAATTAACAACAACGCTTGCTCGTTATATTTTCATCCTCCCCCCTTTTTTTCATCCATTTCGTATTCTATAAAAATAATACAATCGAAATTTTTCTCCTCAAATGTGTTAAGTTACAAAGACTCTTTTCCTTTGTAAAGATACAATTTTTCGTCAATTTCGAGGCAAAGAAGAGGCAGGAATGAAGTTTCGAGCCATCGTCGCCTCGCCACTTCGAATTCAACCAATACGTCGTCGGACATCATCGACGGTTCAAAAAATCTTCTTCTCGCTCGAAACTCTTTATTACTTGAAATTACTCGTCATTTAATATCGCGTGATCCATCGTGGAAAATAAAACGAATGCAAACTTAACCGAGTCGAAGAAGAAATTAAAAGCGCAGAGCTGTAGGATAGCATTAAAGGTTTTAGTTCCAGTTAGATCGACCTATTGGTAGGGGGGGAGGGGGGCGGAGAGGAAAAAAAAAGAATCAGCAGGAAGGAAGACGGATGCGAGTGATCACGGGGACAGAAAGCTGGCGGGTTTGGTGGCGGTAGCGCGAACTATAACGCATCGAGAATTGATTGCATCCGGATCGAACGGCGAGTAATTATCCTTGGTTATCCTTTAATCCAGCGATTACCCGCGTATCGATGTTCCGTCGAGTGATTGATTCGAGCGAAACGGCCTCTCCTACGCTTCGACGAGCAACGCGAGGCGGCGGCTCGTGTTCGCTCACCCGTTCGAAAGAAACGCGGATGATGAATTTTTCGGGTCGAAAAATCGATACGACTCGATCCGTTATGTGTCTATCCTCTTTATTCGTCGATGCGAATCCTTGCGAAGAAGAAGAAATCCATTCTTTTCGTATAACCAGTTTGCTCGAAGAAAAATTCTAAAAAGCGCTTGATTATCTCAATCGAGTTCTCTTTATTCGAGTATTAATTTTACGAACAGTTTCTTCTTTCTTTCCTCAAATTCGAACGAATCCTCCCTCGAGTTTGTCAATTATTCTAATTTTTGGCTGCGCCTAAAAGGGGCCCCCTAATTGATCGCTTTATTTCACCACACCGTGTTTCTCACCGAGGCATGCGCGCGTGATTCACGCGGGAGACGTAATCAAGCCGGTTTTTTACATCGGGACAAACGCGCATTTCCCCGCGACTCGTCCTCGTTCTAATTAAAATTCGTTCGGCCGTGTTTCTCCGTGGAAGCGGCGCCTAACGAGTCCCTATTTTCCACCGGATCCGAAAGTCAGTCGAATCCTCGGCGGACCTGAGCGCCGCTGAAATTTCGCATTCATATATTCAATTTCAGGCGGCGGCCGCCTGCTGTGCCACGCTCTGGGAACTCCGCCTGGAAACTCGTTTTCGCCGTTCGATGATCTTGCGATTTCTCCGATTTCGAAAAATCGAGCCGACAGATCTCTCCTCTTTCTTAAAGAACAGAGAAACAGAGAATTCTGGAGAAAAATCGAAATACTTCAATTATTCGCGACCGATCGAGAGGAAAGGAGAAGAATTGATCGATCGATGAAGGGAAATTTGATGATAAAGGCGGGAGTTATCCGCGAAGGCAGAGATTGCCTTGAAATGGGAAAGAAAAGTTTGGTCGGTTTGCTCCATTATCTTGATAGAACTTTATCGGATATTCTTTGGTTCATCGGATAACTGCTTTTCATCGGCCCGTTTTCTTCCTCTTCTTCCGAACCGCACGAAAACTCCTTTCTTCCTCGATCCTTCTCGCGCTTAGACGGTCTTCTCAATTATTTCTGTCCTAAACTGTCTGACTACAGAGAGAGAGAGAGAGAGAGACAGGAATTTTCCCCGCATCGCGATTAAACGAGACGATCTCCTCCCGTCTTAACCGCGAGTTCATTCGAAAGGGAAAGCCCCCTTCCCCTCTCCCTACTATATATATATATATATATATATTCCCCGCTAAGAATCCCAAGAAA